CTTGTTATTGGGGGCACCAAGCCACCTCTTGTCAACGGAAGCTAACAGTGGAAGGCTTTTTGAAGGGCAGGACCTGCCAAGCTTGACATATATTGACACAGCTTTACTACCTCCTGAGAAAAGGACAGTAAAGGGCTGGGGTTTCATGAAAACTCTGAATACGCGAAGGTGTGTCCTGGGATAGAGAGTCTGTGATGTGGAAGACCGCCAAATTATTTTCCTTAGTGCTGGAGCTTGTGCTGGATCCACCCAAACGCTTGTTGCCAGCTTTTGAAGTTTGAAGGCTGAAGGGTGGTTTTGTTGGCCCCTTTTTTCTGCATATTATTTTTGCGGTATTTAACCTGTGGTGCGAAAACGGGTGTTGTCCTATATATTATTTTCCTGTTCTTTGCACTTTGCGATTTGCGCCAGGCAGATCCAGACAGCTCTTGAATTCTGGGTTCAAAAAAATAATGAAAAATCAGCGTTGGTTATGCATGCTTTTTTGTGGCTCTAATTGTTTATGTTTTTAACTTGTGCTGCCCCACAGATGTTTTATCTTGAAACAATACTTATTTTTTGCAGCTGTCTTGGGTTGGCTGTTGATTCATGGATTTGTATATTGAAATCATTTTTTGTTGTTTTTTTTGGTCTCATATATGTTTTGGACTAAATCTGTGATGCCCACATGTGTTTTGTCTTGATGTTTTTATTTTTCTGCGACTTGCGCTAGGCATTTTTTTACATTTTGGGTTTGAAAATTCAGCATTGGTTTTCCTATCTTTGTTATATCATTTTTTGTTTTTTTTGTCTATGGTGCCAACATGCGTTTTATGTTTGAAATCGTTCATTGCTTAAAGGCTTGGAGAAAAACTAGTTCTAGATTTGTTTTCACTCTTAAGCCAACATATCAAAACAAACAATCCATCAACTGAACCACATACAGGATTATTTATTGGGAACTATGTGCAGCCCCTGGATTATTTTTTAATAATCCGATCGAGGGGGGTGGATGGGGGGTCACCCATGGTAGGAGCCATAGTTCAGACACATTTTTTGATTGCCAGAGATTCGCACCATGAAGTTCCCTTTTGCTGTCCATGCCCAGGTTTTTGTGCTAGTGATATGAGCGTTTCCATTCTTGTTGGTTTTCTATATTTTGCGAGATATTTCCTTGGTGTTTTGTATCGCAGGTGTACGCATGAGTCGGTCTTCCGGCGAGGCAGTGCTTCAGAACCACAAAAGGTTCCCCACTGCACTGTTTAAATCTGTGCGGGCAGTTCGGCTGTTTTTTATCTATGTTTTTCAGTGCTGAACAAGTTTTCTGAGTTTTCTGATCACAACACATTGAATTTCAACTCCACTGTGTAAAAATGGTGTAGGGTTCCGTGATGTTTTGTCAAACACAGCCTTGAGTTGTGCTTGATCCGGCAGTTTGTCAGCATTGGACACTTTGAGGGCAGGAAGGCCAGAAAGGCCCAGCCCAGCAAAGTGTTTCCAAGAAGTGCACCCAAATTTGAGGTATCTTCAGTTGTATAGCCATGTGTAGCAAGTGCCTTGATCTACAAAAGCATGTTTGCAGCTTTAGTAGGTTTGGTGCTGATGCCGAGGGGAGAGTCATCAGTTCCTGTTTGTTTGGGACAGCCACTGTAGAGGTGCTGAACGTTTGTGTTTGAAATGCTTCTCTTTCAAAGTGCTGTAGAACCGTTTAAAATTTTTTTAAATGCATGTTAAGAATGGTGTATATTTTTTAGATTGGCGTATGTGCTCTGCTGGAATTTGAGAGAGGGTTTGACGCAAAATTTGATTGTTCCTATGGGGTCTTGACACTTGGCTGCCATTTCACTTGTCCTGCTCGCAAGATTTAGTTGACATACAGCACGTGTTTCTTCCAACTTGAAGTGCGCATTGAAAGATACACAATTGAAAGAAACCAGTGCCAGAGCAGAGACGGAAGAAAACACATGGAGCAAGGATTGGGACTACACAATTGTGCGCTTGGATGTTCCGTGCAAATCGCAGCAGCTAACATCTTACATCCGTTACATCATATCTTATTTGTACCCAGCTTCAAGCAGCCATGTACTCTAGTACTGCATGCTGGCCATCCTCGGACGAAGAATTGCTGATCCCAAAGGACGACGGGATTGAACCATCGGATGACTTGTGCTTCGACCGAGTAAAGCTGGAGAGGGACCCGGGACCCAGCGGGACCCGGCCGTCTAGCAGAGACCAACTCAACTAGAGCTGTTTTCCTTTGGGTCCTTGGTGTCGCTTGTCTGTGGCTGAGGCTTCAAACCAAGATGTATGACTGGCTGCCTCCTTGGTTCAAGAAAGGGAATAGCTTCTTTGGCGTCCACAAAGAGGTGAAAGACAGGCTGAACAAGCAGATGCGTCGAGGTGTGTCTGCACAACTTAAACAACTGGAGGAGGACAGCTGGCGCCGGGCTTTCACCAGGATGATTCAGAATGGTACCAAAAGCAGCCGGCAATACACAGCAGCATTTCTTGAACAATAATTTCACAAGGAATGTGCTCAGTGACATTGCCATTGGGGTCACAGGGTCGTATTGTAGGGGTGTGCCTTTGTAAAAGTCTCACGACTAGATGCTAACTTGTATATACATAATCATGATTAGTCAGGTGTGCGGTGAAGGCATCCATGCGCAGCTGCAACTGCATTCACAACCCAGCATGTGTAGTGGAGCTTGTCGTTGATGGTAGAATACATGAGGTGATCAGTTATTTTGTTTATTTGTTCTCATGTGTACTTGCAAGGAAGTGCAGTTTTTGCGCTACACACTTCTCTCGCTCAGGTCGTATCAGGTCATAGCAACGGGATTCCCTACTCTTGCATGCTATGTGTCACTCCGTGAGCTAGCTCGTTCTTTTCAAGCGTCACCATGTTTGCAGTTGCAATGCCTTCTGTTAACTTCTGATAGTATGCTATGTGGCCTTGAATATTCACTACGAATCTGTCAGAAAGTATGCATGAACTCTAGGTGGCTTACTCTACAGAAGCAACCCAAGACCAGGTAAAAGGTGTGAGCCCCAAATTTGCGCATGTTTGTGCATGTGGCCGCGTGGCTGAAGATGCAGGAAGACTTGGATGTTTCACCAAGCGACCAGGGACAAACCAGCGCAAGATGTGGAGGATCCGTCCTGCGACTTGAATGCGTTGCTGCTGGGGGACACCTGGTTAATAGATTTTGCTGTAATGGTCTTGTATTTCATTTATGTGAGATGATATGAATGATTCTCTTGGCCAGGATGCTCCTTTGCCTGCGTGGAATTGACATGTTCTGGCGAAGTGGCTAAAACCGGACCATGCTTAAACACAACACAATCTGAGTCAAGCGGGCAGGGTTTGAGTTTGCTTCACCCAGGTTGAACTCTGTACCCAAGCAGAAAGTAAACAAAGTTTAAGCAATATGAAAAATGAATTCTTGATGGTGGCCCTCAATGTGAAACTTGGATGATGCTTTGTCAAGCCCATTGCCAGCAAAACGAACGAAAGGTTCCAGAGTCTCCGCTACTCACTGCACGCAGCGGGCGGCTGACTGTGTATGCAACACCCTGGTCCCAGAAACCGGATTTCGTCCATTTGCTGGCGCCAGCCTTCCTTCTGCAATGCAAGCCGCCATGGACACGCACACACACACACACCCGTATAATACTGTGAAACTTGGATGAGGCTTTGTCAAGCCCATCGCCAGAAAAACAAACGACAGGTTCCAGAGTCTCCGCTACTCACTGCACGCAGCGGGTGGCTGACTGTGTATGCAACACCCTGGTCCCAGAAACGGGCCGCCATTTTGGAAGCCTTTCCTTCTTCCGGCAATATTGCGGCCCCGTTTTTGGGGCCGGTTTTTGGCCCAATTTGTGGGACCACGAAGGAGCAAACAGGAGCTGCTCGACGGTCCTGACGGCCCGGCTTTCGTCGTCCATTTGCTGGCTCCAGCCTTCCTTCTGCAATGCAAGCCGCCATGGACACACACACACACACAGACACACACACACACATCCGTAAAAAACTGTGAGGGGTCATGGCGCAGAAGCTGTTTTGAATCAGTGAAAAGGGTCCACTTTCCAGGTCCGCAAGAAGCCATGCTAACCTCTTGCGCTCTGGCAGCGTGCCACCTTTACAACGCTTATGTCAGGAAGCTGTTTTGCGTGCATCTTGGGAGAAGTGTGGGGCGTGCGCTTGCTACCCGTCCGCGCGCTTTGGAATATACTATATAAGCGCCAAAAGGGACGTAATCCCTTATTTACATGCGGGTTTGAGGGGCGGAATCGGGACGTACGAGGGGCGTAACCACAGATGGGAGGGACGCAATCCCTTATTTACATGCGGGTTGGAGGGGCGTAATCGGGACGTACGAGGTACACCTGCGTTTGCAATGTGAATCTTACATGTTTTTTTTTTGCTCCAGCGATGTGCCAACCCACCAAACTTGAGCACCCCAAATTCAAAACTATTGGTCCTTGCATGTGCACTTGAATCTTGGCAGTAGGTGTCAACTTGCTGTGAGTCTTGGCCTGGGCGAAATCAGCCGGACCTGTCTGGACCACCTGGTCATTTTCCTGAGGCTTGACGGCGATACAGATTCAGAAGGTGATGCCAGCAGAGAAGCAAAAAAAAATAAAATCAAATTTTACCGAAGGCCGGGAAATTCAGAGTGGAACTAATCCGATGAAATTTGGCGCCCCCGGTTCTGGGTCAGTTTGTTTCAAAATCAAGGACAACTTTTTGACGCATATACCAAATTGTTTTTTAATGGATGTTGGAATGCTGCAGTATTGTAAAATCTATTTTACAAAGGAAGGTTTTTATGTATGTTGCATCAAACCTGTACAATGTAAAAAATGAAATATCATGAAATATCTGCATTCCGATCATTTGGGCCCAAAACCGCGTTTCAGAACAGATTTGAGATGTATTCGGAAAACCCACAGATTGCCCAAATACAACACTTTTGTTGCGAGATTCCTCCAATGTTTTTCTGGATTCTTCCAGGTTTATGAAACAAAGAGTGGAAACATACAGGGAGGACGAGGACGAAACGGAGATGGAGCACTTGCCAATTCCCATGCACTATGAGGGCCACTATCAGCCTGGCCTGTACGACGTTAGTGGACCACCGCTTAAATATTTCATGCCGTGGGCGACACTGGGGTTCTTCGTGGCCAGCATCCTTATGCCTGTGCTAGCTTTCACATCGTCACATTGCGAAGGGAAGCATGAGATGCTGGCCAAGTACCCATACTGGTGGTGGTTTCCTTTCTTTATATGGGTGGCAATCATGATGCTGCTTGATCCTCGGCTATCGCATGCTATCGCATTGTGATTTTAATAAGCCAGGCATTCCGCACCTTAAGTAAACCCTTGTAAAGTTACCATGGATGAGTCACTGCAAGGGTTGCAGGTTCCACAGTGGGTAGTGTTTGCACCTTGTAACAGTTTCTCGTGCATAGACGCCCACAGTTAGGAGTGGAAGTGCTTTACCTACGTTATCGTTCCATTGATCGGGATTTCAGGGCACAAGCGACTTTTGTCTTTCAAAGCAAGTTTCAGATGGTGGACGCGCTGTTCGATACTCTTGAGCCTCGTCATGCATTCCGAAGTCTGGTCACAGGGACTTCTAGCAGCCAGCGCGGTTCGGGCATCTCTCGATTGCAAAGGCCAGATGCTGCTGTGCTCATTGGGTAGCCACAATGGAAGTGTTGTTTAAGCTCACCAGATGCATTCTGAAGACACATCAGCTCTTAGCTACCCCGCAGCGTGTGTTATGCATAAAGTATCGCAAAGTTGCTTTGTGCACGGGTCCTGGAACCGAGAAACTTTCCATCCCATGTCCAGGATGGAAAGAAACACTTGAACCAGCGTGGTCAAAGGCTTGGAACGATTCGATGTGGGCAGGATTTGAGCTAGGCGGAAATTTGTTGGCTTTGGCAGGCGGGATATCAAAAAATGGTTTCCCAGAAGTTTCTATTGATTTCACAATCTATTTATTTTGCTAAAGCGGAGGTGCTGTTTGAGGAATGGGCCCAATTTGTCTGCACCATCCCTGCGTCCTGATGCTGATTTGTTTGCTGTCAAGCTGGTGCCTGGGCGGAGCGTCCTCTTGGTACAAAAATCACTTTGCAATTGACATATCCCCTGAATGATGTTGGGCTTGCATTGGCTTGCTAGCCTGGGTTTTCTTGGTTCCAATGAGCTTAATCGCCCCAGTTCATTGCACAACTAGTTGCGCATGACTTTAACATGCGGTATGGAAGCTTATATATATCGGTCCCCCATGTTGTTTGAGAATCGCCGCAAGTGCCATTTCGACCCCGTCGTGTCTTCCCCTCGGACGGCACCCAGCATGGTGTGCTCTGACAGAAGGAAACGGTCCCGGATCACAACGCAGAGGATCCCGATCGCACGCATATCTTAGCGTTATTTGGCATTGAGAGAGTCAGTAGCCGAGCGAATCTGTGAATGTTACCGGCCGAGATGTAGTGCGTGATGTATCAATGAAGAGACTACCTCTAAGTCAATATTGCGAGGTAAATCCTGTACCTCAATACCGCCGCATAAACTCGATCATGTGGCCTGTCCGCGTGAGCTCGTTCCATGTGCTGGGAGTCCTGTGGTTGGCGCGTTCCCGTAACAGCGTTTTGTTTACATTTTTCCCCGGAAAGTCTTGGCGCTTGTGAGAAGGCCATGCCTCCTGCAGCTGGATTTGCGCGTGACGTATGGTGAGCCCGCGCTGATGCATGTCGGAAAAATGGCATCATTTGTCTATGCGTGCGTGTGCCTATGTCCATCCCCATGAAGCACAAGGATATATTTATTTAATTTTATTTATAGCAATAGCCAATAGCTGGCTTGCCCAGAGGTCTTGCTTGGGGCTTCCTTGTGCTGCAGCTGGTTGTCTACGTCTTTAGGGCTGTTCCCATGAAAGTGATCCAATGCAGGGGGGTGGATTATGGATGTGGTACAGAACGGCACGGATACATCGTCCCTGTTTGCTGTATGCGGGTTTGGCATGCTGATGCTCTGAAGACGTTGGCCAGTCTCAATCGAATGGTTTTGCTTCTGGACGGCCAGACTGAATATGCCATCAAGCGTGCACATTTCAAACTTATCTCAGACCCAGGGCAAGCTCCTTACGACTTCTTCCACGTCTTGAAGATGGACATGCGCTTCATGCTTTTTGATGCATTTTTCGTCAACCTGTTGCAAAATTGCGCAAAACTCCAATTCCAAACCAGCTACATGGCCCTCCTGATGTACGCAAACCTTGATGCCAACCTTGATGCCAATGTTGCTCGGTGCTCCAAAATTTTGTTTTGGGATGTTTTCAATTCTGCATATAGTGTAAAATTGTTCAACGGTTTTGAAAGCGAAGGTTTTGTAGTTCAGTTGGAATTTTGCTCGGCCACTTGCCTTCGAGACGGCTATGAACAGGTCGTTTTTCCAAAACGTGTGAACCGTTTTTGAGCCACAGGTGACCATACTATGGACGCTGCTTTCGTTGTCCCTGACCCACGTGACCTCCTTGGTTTCCGTATCCCGGAAGGTGACAGAATGGTTGAAGGTGCGCAACAGCAGAATGTTGGTGCGCCAGGACAGTTTCAACTCTTGTGGCCGTGCCCAACTTGTACAAATTCACATGAAACAGCCGCAATAGTTTCCATCATCACAGGCACGGTATCATTGACAGGTGAATTATTGAAAACTATCCGGTTGCTCCCTTGGCAGGCAAGCTATCCTCCTGTTTTGTCCAACCCAGGAACAGTAAGCAAAGATGAGTTGTTTTATTTCAGACTTTGCCTATGTTTGTGACAGGAGTTTCGGAGCCGCATGGACGTTGCAGACTGGCGCGAGTATGACAAACTTGTCTTCTTGCAGCGAGGTTATGCAGTGGTGCTGACGCTTCAATGTTTATTCCAATCCTTCTGCGCGATCAAATTCTGCATGTCTCAATGGTATTGCGAATCTCACCTTTGGAATGTTTTTGAGGGTTGCGTTCAAGGCGGGGTGACAGCACAGTTTGGCACGGCTATCGAAGTATGGAGGCTGTTCGCTTTAGTTGTCGAAGTCTAGAGAGAAGTGATAAACATAAAGTAATTTGTAAAGCGGCCTTGCAGCATACATGTAAACGTTGTATCTACCAGTAACATAGTTGTAATTTTGGCTAGCAGCTTCAAGATGAAGTTGCAAATATGTAGGCCAGGCAGGATGCAGGTGTTTCAAGAAGTCAGCGTAAATATGTTTTGCTTGTTATCCTTTGATAATAAGTATATCGAACTTGACACAAGGCTTGGTAACGTTTTCTGCATGTATATCACATACAAAAATCTGGATCATTTCTGAAAAGGATATCTTTGGATTGGAACATATTCGGTTTCAACAACTATTGAAAAACAACTCAGAAGAGTTCAGATATATGAATTCGGGACGTTCTTAAACATGTTTTTTCGAAATCACTTGTTCATCTCAAGATTAGTATACATGTTTTTCTGAAAATTTAGAAACTGATTCGATGAAATCATCATCCAAAACCAGAAAAACGGAAAATGTTCAGACAAGTTCAGATATGTGCATTTCTGGGCTTTTCTATTGTTTCCGAATTTTCACAACTTGTTTCAGAGATTACGTTTTCTGAATTCTCTGATATTTTTCAATTTTCAATTATGGGATGTACCTTGGGCTCCAGGGTTTGCTTGATATCAAGGGCTTTGCCCATTGAAGGAGTTCATCATTCAACAAGTTCAGACAAGAATCAGAAAAAATCAGAAATTCAGTTTTCTGAGTTGTTCTAACATGTTCTAACCTTTTTCAGAATTTCTCGGAACTTGTTCTTCCACCGCAGGTTCCTGAACTTGTTCTTTACATTTGTTTTGTTTTTCATGTTTAAACCAGTAGTTGTACTATAAAGTAGTACTAGAAATTCAGACAAGTTCAGACAAGTTCAAGAATTCTGCTTTCAGAACTTCAGAATTACCTGATGTTCAAAGCACTTACTTTTTTTTCCAAAAAGGACGTCTGAATTGTGGGAAATGCAGATTTCTGATGTTTGGTTGATTTTGCAAACATCGTCAAGCATATTTGTGCAGAGTTTTCAAAAGTTATTGGCACTTATGAACCAGTAAGTAGCACCATATTTCAAAAATTAAGACAGCTTTTTTACCTTTTGCTATTTAGGTCATGTCAACTTCCTGCATAAACGACCTATGTAGCTTGCTTGCATCTGAGCTATGTAAACGCAGGCAGATTCCGTACACGATAGACATTCTCCAGATCCTTGAAATCTGGGAGTGTGCTGGAAGCAAATCCAGACCATCCCAGGAAAAATTGGGCCAAGTTTTTGGTTGTTGTTCACGGGTTTTTCACGGTCGTTTCACGGCTTTCACTTTCGTTTCGCGGGTTTTTCACGGTCTTTTCCAGACATGTTTGGATCCTGTATAAATTTCGTTACGGCCCGATGAAACCGATCCGGATATGGTACGCAATCCTGAAATGCAAATAATCCTGGATCTCTACAAGGGAGTGAAGAAAATAGCAACACATGGCAGAGTTCTTGGTCCCAGGCACTTTTGAGGCGCATCTAATAAGAGCAAGTGGCTACTCATTAAATATATTAAATCTATTGGGCCATTGCATCTCCACTTGTGGCACGTAGAAAAGCCACATCCAGGGGATTCCAGGGGCATTTCCCAAAGACATCCAAAGACAACGTTAAACCTCGTCGTTACTAAAGACCTAGTGAAACTTTGTCGAGGAAGCCTTGGGCTCGAATAAACATATATAAACATGCACAGGAGACGTGATTTATATATATATATATGATATACGCATATATACACGTTTTTTTTTGATGTTGCTTATATACCAATAGTGCAGGTAGCGCCACTTGAGTTTCTATGCTGGGATATGCCCGGCGTTTGTTTCCTTCAAGATTCAGAACCCTTTTGCAGCAAACACAGTAGAATCACCACTTTGTAGAGGGGCACGGCAATGAAGCGGTGCTATGGGAAATACTCGGTGAATCGACCCTGGGGCAACTGCTTTTGGCCCACTAATCTGCAAAGATCACTGGTCATGAGTACCTGGGACAACCTGGGTACGAGTGACATTTGCATTCCCCCAAATCGGCTGAACATGGTTTAAGGACTCTAGTCCTCCAGTGTCAGTTGTAGGAGCTCCTCCTCCAAAGATATCCAAACCTTCACTTTTTCTGTTTCTGGCTGATCACATCAGCGGATCATCCACGATTTTCCATACCTGGCCAAGATTATAGAATCTTTGGAGTTGTTGTTGTTCCGAACCTTTTGTGGGTGAGTTGGCTAACTGTGCGTCACTGTGCACCCACCGTATCGGTGTCTGTGTGTTCGTGATGGCCTCCTTCAGGCCCATCAGTTCCAGTGCTGTCCTGTGTTCCGGTCCCTTAGGGACGTACACCTCAGAATGCATCCTGTCATGCACGTTCGTGGAGTCAGTTACCAACACCCCTGGGATATGTGCCACCTGTCTCTCTGTCTTTCGTACATGTACCTTGTTTCCTAACATTTCAAACACCTGAAGCCTCACAGCGTACATAGCATCTTCGCAGTCTATAGCGGCAATTGACTCCGCCGCTCCTGGTGAGCGACATTGCCTTTCTATCTTTGCCGACCGCCAGTAAACTGGACTGATCGTACACATTTCCCCCTTTAACAACTTTTGGGAAGTCAACCCAACAAACACCCCTTCCGTGCTCTTTCCGTCCGGTCTATTCTGTGCAGCGGCATCTGCCCAACCAGCTACCAACAAATCATGTACCTTCAAATCACCATGAACCTTCAAAACATGTTTTCGATTACACTTCGTTTTGTAAATCAACTGGTTAATTTCAATCATAGTTTGAACAGTGCTGTCTCTTACCTGTGACAAAAACAAACCAACTGCTGCAGACAAATGAGGGCAAGACTGCTGAGCACACCAACTGAGAGCACCTAATGCTGCTCGGATCTTTGTTTTCTCGTGTTCTGCATGTTGTTGCTGATTTAGGCTCCCGGCGACGCTCAGAGGGAATGCTGATTTCCCGAATGTCGTCAATATACATGGACTGTGACAGTTCAAAACCACCACTGGCCGTCTTTTCCACTCTTACCCCACATTGTGTGAAGTTGTCGTACCCCCAGATTCCCCACTTGAATTTACTCTGGATTTGCTGACACAAGTTACTCCAAATGGGGCATGAGGCTGGACCACAAAACAGGAAGTCATCAACATGTCCACGAATGAGTCCAATGAGTCCCTTGTCCTTGTCCACATACTTGAAACAACATGGGTCACACACGCAACGTTCAAATCCCAACGACTGGAGAAATTCCGACACCGTGAGAAACCATTCAAGAGGAGCATCAGCCAGACCATAGCAAACTTTCTTGAGTTTCGTTATGGAACCATGGGGCAATGACATGGCATCACAGATCTCATCAGTGGGTATCACGTATGCATCATGTTGATAGGACCTACCCTGAAGAAAAGCTCCGGACACGTCGCCCTTGGCAACCCGCATCTTCAAAGCTGCGGCTAGTGACAAAAGTATGTGTCGCGTCGTACGGGACATGGTTGGAGCCATTGTTTGCCTGTGTTCATAGTGCGGATCCTGATGCCCAAGCACTACACATCGAGCCTTTGCAGCTCTGTTGCCACTGTCATCCCGCTTCCAAGTGAGCACCCACCTCATTCTCATAGCCACGTCGCGATTCGGACCCTGTTTCATGAGTTCCAGTTCCTCATCGGTCATATGTCTTTCAGAAACCTCTACTGCTCGTCGTTTTAGATTCGATACCAGAAAGGATTCAAAGTTCTCAGTCATGTGCTTCACACCCCGACGGGATGTGGGAATGGGGATCTCTACCTCCACCCCAGAAACTCTCCGCATAGTGGTCCCGAAACATTTCTGCATGCTCGGTTACTACTAGGTGCCCAAACTGGTCTCGCTCTTCACCACCTTCTACTTCTACACTCGGTCTCGGACATTCTGGCACCTGACGTTTTCGACGCACTCTCCTGAAAGGAGCCGATCTCTCTTCATCTCGTGCCTGTTCCAGTTCCATCTCATCAGGGATTTCCTCAGTGACATCATCATACTGTCTTTCACCTAGGTCCTCCGTCAGTTTCGTAGTGGTCCATGGTAATTCCACAGGGTTGGCTAGTTCTTCTACCAGCTCTTCTCTAACCGACGCTTTTCTCAGTTGTTTAGGGTGAGCCTTGATAAGTCTTGAACCCGAATCACCCAAACGCAAGAGCCAGGGCGAAACTGACCATTCTCAGTTCTACGAGTCTCAGTTGCTAAAACCCTACATGGACCTGTGAAACCACCTGTTCTGGCACTCACTGCTGGACCCCTTGTTTGAACCCGCCAAACAAACACCAAGTCTCCTGGCTGAAAGTCTTGAACCTTGTAGCTACGTGTATTCTGAGCCCTCTTAAGTCGTTCGTTGTACACGTACTCAGTCATGGCCTGTTCAGCCTGTTTCATACATTCCATGTTACGTCGAAACTCTCCATCTGGATTTTCACACAAAACCTGTGGAACATCATGCAACTCACTGCCTAGGAAACGACCAAACTCATCGGGTGCTCTACCTAGTGCATGTTGTGCAGGAGAAAACCCTCTGACTACCTCTCTTTCGTTTTCGGTTCGAATCGCCTCAGCCAAGGCCTCCTCCACACACAAGTTCTCCTCGGACATGGTGAGTTTGTTCATGATGAGGTCATGGCTAAGCTCCTGACGGGGTCCTGACTCACCATGGTCGAAACCACGGCGTTCTGAGATGAAGACTGTAACAAGCTATCTCTGTATGTGGTGTGCACGCTGCTGTGTATGTGACATGTATGCGCTTCTGCCGTTTTCACAACGCTAGCATTACTCCCGGGCTGACATGTTTGTTGTTGTAACCCTGGTTCAAACTCTCCCTTCGTCAGTCCTTGTTGTTCACACCTCATGACACCTTTGCCTGGCTCTAGTCCTATGCTCCCGCTTCCAACAACTGGTTTCTCAGACTCCTTACCCCCGATCAACCGTTGATCATTAACCCCATGAACGTACCCAGAAATCCCTGCTGCTAACTCGACCTTTCTCCCTCGTGCAGGTTGCGAGGCAGAAAGGAGCTGTCCCTATTCCAGCTCTTTGAAAGAAGGCATGGGCTCCTTGAGCGTCACCGCATTCTGGTAGATATCCTCTGTCAGAGGCATGACTTGATGCCCCGCACTGGAACATTCAAGAGGAACCAGACGTGACGGATCCACATGCCGGAAAACTGCTAAGTCGTTCTCAAAATCTATCACTGCACCTAGCTGCCTAAGTAAATGAATTGACAACAAAATAGGGGCAGATCCTTGGTCGAGAGCATGCACTCTCATAGAGCCACACTTTCCCCCGAGCGGCACTGACAAGCTGGCTGGGCGCAGCGATTCTTGCTGCTGTTCCCACTCATTCAGATCCACTGCTCTACCCCGGTCACTCCACGCTTTTTCTCATTCAACTCCGCCACTTGTGACAAGGACGGCTTTTCCCTGAGCGACCACCTCACTGGTAGAGAGCAGACACCTCTCCATGAGGTCTGAATCAGGGTCTGTAGTGTGAAAGCTGATGCTCTGGATCGGTGACTGGCTAGGAGACACATTCTTCGGGACATCCAAGTGTTCTGAGGCAAAGACCAATGGCGCTGACTCTGTAGCTACTTGAGATTGTTCGGTCTTCGGCTTTTCCTTCCACTCAGCTACTTTGTGAGGACCTCCACAACGGAAGCACTGTACTGCGGTCTTTGGCCTTGAAAGCTGCTTCCACATCCCTCCAGAGCCTTCCCGCGAGCCACCTCCGGACATTTGGGGCCACATGCGCGCAGCATGTTGTCGGGCCCTCGCATCTCGCAAGGTCTTCTTGGCTTCCATCATGGTTGGGCGGCTTCCTCTTCTGTCATCATCACGTGAATCTCGTCAGCAGAGAAACCCTCTGCTTCCAGGTCATCTGGTTCAACCTCACCATAACACCCGGTGTCCTCCTCCGTGAGTTCTACATTGACATTGGCCATGTAGCGTCCCTTCTCGGCATCTCTCTTCTTGAGGTCATGATCGGACCGATGCTTTCGCAGCACTTGTTCCACTTCTCGCACGCCAAAGGTGCCCTTGAGCTCGGCATGCAGGACGTTTCTTTCCATGACATCAAGTCCAGCGTCCATGAAGAGGCACCATCCTTGCACAAAATCAGGTAGGATTTCTGGCAGTTGGTCACGACCCCACTCGCTGGTGTGCCCGCATCGACTGAGAAGGCTCCCAATCGGATTGCCACCAACCGTAGTAGCCACCTCCATGGTACCAGCCATTCCAGGACCATTGCTGATTCCAGTTCTGCCAAGGATCATCCTCCTCGTCAGGATCCTGGAAGTCAAGCTCCTCCCTGGGGCTCTCTGCACCGTCTGGGCCATTGGTGGCCGGTGCTTCTGATGCCGGCGCACTGGTCCGAGCCACGGAAGGGGTTGGTGCCGTAGCCCGACTGGACACAGCGCCTCGCGATGTCCCACTTCATGTACCTGGCCATGGACTGTTGTGCTCTGGTGTAGGCCTCAGACTTCCGCAGAATGAAATCACCCATGGTCTCTCCCCTGGTTCTCCTAGTGCCACGAAAGTATTTCTGCAGCAGTTCAGACAACTCTGGTACCTTCGGCTGACCTCTTTCCTGACGTAATGCCGCTACCAATCGACGGACACCTGACTCGTTTGACAACCAGTCAGCTGGCCGTCCGATCAGCACACGGCGAGCTGGACCCTTGAGTTCTGATGCCAATCTGGGACCACACAGATAGCGTTTCTCCCTAGCCACTGTCTGTTCATAGAGCAGGCATGCTTCTACATACTCCTCAAACAACACAGTCTCCCCCGACCATGTTGGAACTCCGTCTCGATTCCTTTGAATCGAGCTGGCGCCACCTGTCGACTCAGGACGGCCTGGCTGTCCTGAGTACCACGCATCACTACACATCTTTGTCCTTTTTCACGAGCCACCTGAAGCCTGTGGCTCCGCTACCATGCAGGTAGCGCCACTTGAGTTTCTATGCTGGGATATGCCCGGCGTTTGTTTCCTTCAAGATTCAGAACCCTTTTGCAGCAAACACAGTAGAATCACCACTTTGTAGAGGGGCACGGCAATGAAGCGGTGCTATGGGAAATACTCGGTGAATCGACCCTGGGGCAACTGCTTTTGGCCCACTAATCTGCAAAGATCACTGGTCATGAGTACCTGGGACAACCTGGGTACGAGTGACATTTGCAAATAGTACCCGCCCACAAGGAAGGGCGGAAGTTTCGTAAAAAGGCATGTGTTTTAAAGAAAGGACAACCTATGGGAAGCGTTCCTGTGGGGTGGGCGACAAGCGAAGGAATGGATGAAGGAACAGAGGGCAAAATGTAATAACAAGAAATCAAACAACGTGACATGACAGAAATCAGCTGACTCACGACTGACTGACTGGCTGACTGGCTGACTGGCTTGACCGGACTGAAATGAAATATACTGTAAATTGAATGAACAGAATGAAGGAACAAACGAACGAATCAAACGACGTGAACATTAATTGGAATGGAATGAAATGGAACGACATGAAATGATTGACTTGAATGAAATTGATGAGATGACTGATTAAACAAAACATGACATGGATGAAATGGAAGCAACGTATGAAATGCAGGAAATGCATGAAAATATTTAAACGGAATAGAATGGAATGGAATTGACTGAAATGAAACAAACGAAATGGAGTGAAATGAAATGAGATGATACGAAACGAATGGTTTGAAAGACACGAATGACATGAAACGATTTGAAATGAAAAACAATGGAATGGGATTGAATGAAATTAAATTAATGACATGACATGAAATGGACCGGAATGGAATGAAATGAGATGGGACGGAATGAAACGAACGAAAAGGATGAAATGAATGAAATGACTGAAGTGAGTGAAATTAATGAAATGAAATGAAAGGAATGGAATGAATGCAATGCATGACATGAAAAGTTTTGTTTTTTTGAAGATGTTAACATCCCCTTCGCAAACCCAAGGTTGACCTAAGTAGTATTTTGCAGACGCGCTTTCATCGACCTTGCCAGCTCTGCCCTTGCGGACCAGAACTCTACGGCAACTTTGGGAGCTCCATGGGCCTCTACAGACCCGAACCTTTGGCGAGCCTTTTCTGGGCCTCTATGTCCCCAACCCTTGTGCCAGATAGAATGTCAGAGAGAATGCCAGATAGGAATCAACATATATATATATATATCAGATAGAATGATAGAATGCCAGGTAAAGAATAATAGAAGAACATATTCTGTCAAATAACATGTCTGAGAATGCCGGGTAAAAAGTGAGATAGAATGTCAGAGAAGATGTTAGATAGTTTGTCAGAATGCATGTCAGATAAGGTGCCAGATAGAATCGAAGAATAAGTTTCAGGAATTTTCAGGATATATGCCACGGTTGGGATCACACAAAGCAAAGTAATTATATGTATATAGATATTTGGTTCTGAACCAGGAGAATCGCGGGTGTGAGATAGAGCATGCGCGCGGATTTCATGTATCGCGTTAGCAGCGCATGAAAAACATGCACTGACATGGAAGGTGTCAGTAACATGGAGCACATCACGCAAGTGGCCACAACCAGCTTGAGCCTCAACCGGGAAGACGCATCTATGCTTTCACACCACCCATTGGCACATTTGTTTGCAACTTGGAAGTTTGCCGACATTTTTTTCCTTGTGACGACGCCATTACGTCTTGGTGTTGGATCCTGGGATCATGCAAACGATGATGCCAAACCGCCAATAGACCACGACAAATTCGCTCACATTCTGTGAGGCCTTGCACCTCTTGATGGTGTGAACTTCCGCTAAGAGGCATTCACTCCGTTCCGTTGAATGGGGAGATGGGCATTGAGCTGTGTTGCCGGAACACTTGATCATGATTTTCTCAGGGTAGCGTGCGCTCTTTTTGTGGTAGACGCCGACAGCCTATGGAATAGCAATTTCACCGCTGCAAAATTGCATTGATTTGCTTTTGTTGGTAAATTAAATCAAGTCAAATGCAACGATTTTCTCTAAGATCTCGAAGAGCGTTTGTTTTTATTTCACACGTTTTGATTGTGGTGTTTTGCAGCAGCGTTCCGTACACAAACCACATTAACGTTGTCACGTGAACATGTAATTGTATAGATTTGCAATCATGTCGTGGCATGAATGAAAACAAAAATGTAGTATCCTTCGGCGTCCCATGCATGACAGAATTTGGCCTCAAGGTTGGCAATCGCTCAGTGAAGTGGGTGCTTAATTTCTGTCATTATAGCACTGGTCAACCCCATTTTTTTAATGTTGCCTGTATGGTTTCCAAGTGTTTCCTTTCGCTCGGCCACAAATTGCAATTTTCCGTCCCGGTGGATCGTCCCGAGCTGGGAATGATTGCGCAAGGCTTCATGCGGCTTTGATGAATGCTATAGCTATGGTCCCACAGCCATGCAGGAATCTTCGGTAGATGCGCAGGACAATCAGGCAGCCCTCAGCAACAGATTGAATGATCACCAAATTTTGAGCCTTTAGATGTTCGACGCTACGGAGAATTCTAGGCAATATCACTTCCAAGAGGGCATTCCTGAACAGATGGGTACATATGGCCATAAGTGCCATAATTTGTCCACGCTGTTACGTGTGCAGACATGTGCTAACCATTCACAGACCGGATTCCGTGCAGTAAAGTTGCAGGTCGCCAGCCCGGCGATATGATCGACAGTTTGCTATGCATTGGACGGAGGATGTACCCTGCTGATCCTTTTTTTAAAGGGTTTTAAAGTCGCAGGATTCCTGTCTTTTTGGTCTCCTCCCAGTGGCGACTGCTTGCCCTGAAAGGTGGCAGCACTCAGTTTGGAGTTTCGCTTTGGACTCTGCACGTGTGCAAAGCCGCGCTGCAATTTATTATTTCCGATCAACGGAGCTGCTTGGAATTCCTGTCGTCAATCACTAGTTGAGTTGCGCCAAGAGGTGTAAAAAGCTGATTACCTTGGGGGAATGAGCATTTTTCTTTGGATGCTGATATCACGAAGAGAATGGATGGAAGTGTGTTCTTGGTGGTGGAAATGCTGGCCTCGATTCAAATGCGTTTTTTGTTCTCATCGGCGAGCTGGGGGCCACCCATGTCGCTGAGGTGACCTGACATTGACCTGACTATATTAGGCAACTTCAAATCGCAAACAGGATATTTGCAGAATTTGAATGTCAATCATCATTTGAGGCCTTCTACTGTTTGCGACGCGCATAACATTACAGTATGAATGCTGAGACCAAACTCACGCCAGCAGCGCGAAAACTAATTTGCCATTGGCGTCTCATTCAAAAATATGGTAGGTTTAGATTTTAGAGGAACTAGTACAAAGTTGGGAAGTTTGATTGCGTTGAGCAAGGTAGCAGAAGGATCACTCGCAGAAAGTGAGATCCGATGCTAGGATTACACACATGCTTATTATGTTCAAGAGAAATAAACAAAGACGACAGCTAATCAATAAGTAAAATAGACCCGTATCTGGGCAGCACTTAACACAATCAAATAGTCAAATTCGATTTAATGATTCATAAAAAACATGTCTGGGCCTCTTTCAAACTATAATAATCATTCGACTGTGTGAAGGGCCGCTTGTAGGGGACTTAAGCGAGTTGAGACTGAAAACAGCTGCCTGCTTAATAATTCATAATAGTTAAAACGCGATGCAACAAATCCAGTCACTATATGACTATATGTCACCGAAACTGCACGAAACATATGCACAGAATTGCACAGAGACATACAACCCATAAATTCTGAACTGAACTCCCATAACCAAAAGCAAAGGGCATTGCTTCGGTGATAGGGTGGTGATGCTACCGATGCATGTGTAGCCATTTTTTTTGCTGTATATACATCCTTTCAACCTCTGATGTTGTTTGTGGGTTATCCCAATTTCCGATATATGCAGGCATTCAGGTTTCACATAACTTGTCAATAATTGTCATCTTTTTTTTACGCCATCGCACCTTGGAGGTGTTAGCGTATATACCAAACCTTTCCAGTCCAAGGAATTGCCTTGCAACATTCGAACAAGAAAACAAGGGCTGAAATGCTTGCTGCCGATGCAGCTTTTAAAAAACACATGGCGGCCCATCAATGTTCCGCCATTTAGGGTGCTTGAAGGCGGCAGTCAAACACGAGATCAAATACTGTACGCGCTTAGGGCAAGTGGAAAACAATTTGCGGACAATAGGACATCTTGGTCATGTTCCAGTGCCCCCACAGGATTCAAAACAGGTCCTATAGCAGAGACTTTCTTATAACTTATCAATTACTTATACTAACTTACATCTCGCTAAAGGCGCTCAAGTTCATTTGCGGCATTGTCCCCAAAGCCCGCAAAAGCATCCTTGGCTGTTTCCTGTGAGATGGGCAAGGAGCACAAACGTACTTGGTTCTGAATTAATTTTGGAAAAACATAATTACCAGTGAATCCAGAATTTGGGAAGTGCACTTAAGCAAATCAGCGTTCTAAGCATGTTTTTTTTCACCTCTCCCTCCATCACTCCGAAGCGCTTCCGAGTGTTGATCCCCCATCTGAACACTGTATGGGGCGATTTGTTTGATCGTTTTAGACCTGACTGAATATGTTCAACATGCACTTAAGATAGCATGATGTAGGCTTCCAGGAGCCCGAAGCGCTTCCGAATGATGGATTGGTAGGAGCAAATGCCCGTCCCCTTACATCAGCTGTTTGCTTACCCAGCACTTCCTCGACCCAGTTTAACCCGGCCTTTGGCAATAGCCAGATTTAACCTGGCCTTTGGAAGATGCCTCTTTATAATAATGGTTCATGGATATAAAAGCCATTTGGTTCAATTCGATGCAAGTAGAATCTTAATCATTTTGTGTGATTGCGAGTGGAGCCGGACGTGACTCGGTTCACCATATTTGGA